GCCTCGCTGTGCGCCGGGGCAGGACTGTGGGGTGCTGAGCCCACCCCCCTCGAACGCCCAGCAGGGAGAAGAGGCCCACAGTGACCACTATCCGACTGCTTCCAAGTGAACGTGAGTTCTCACGTAATTGACGTTTTCTCTGGAATGTCACACACGATCGCTTTTGTGACTGTCCCACGTGTACGGTCCCACGGAGCCGACATGAATGATCATGAATGACCCGGCTCCTCACCCTGGGGCCCCCGCCCCTCCGGTGGGCTCTGCGGGCGCTGCCTGGCTGCCTGGCGGGTGCCCAGCCGCACCAGCCTCGCCCACTAGGTGTCAGCAGCACTCCCAGCCGGACGGCCTGTCACTGCCGCTGCGAGCCACCGGTTTGCTCTTCTCTCTCCTGAAGGAAACTGAGGCCGCCCAGGGTGAACCCCATCAGCTCCCGTGGGGGTGTCAGAGGAAACCCGAGGCCCGCTCGGAGGTGACGCCTCGCAGGACCCTCAGCTGCTGGGTAAGGCTGCTCCGGGGCAGAGGAGGGGCCCACGGGGGGCTGTCACCCCCTCCCCCTCCCATGAGCCAGTCTTGCTGGGGCTCTCAGAACCGAGACCGCAGCGCAGCCTGATGACCAGTGCCAGCTGCGACGGTGACTGTCCCCCCAAAATCACCCGCTGAAGTCTGAACCCCAGTACCTTAGGGTGTGACCTTATTTGGAGACAGTCTTGAAAGATGTGGTCAAGGTAAAGTGGCCCTCACCAATATGACTACATCCTCAGAAGAGGAGATGAGGCCACGGAGACACAGAGAGACAGCCACGTGAGGGCATAGAGAACACGTCCTTGTACACGCAGGACTGAGGCCTCGGAGGAGCCAGCCGGCCCACACCTGGCTCTCAGACCCTGTGACACAGCCTGCTGGTCTCACTAAGGTGGGGCGACCGGGGCCAGAACCCTGACGTGTGCTGGCACCCCACGGGGCCAGGGCAGTCCCGGGCTGAGGCCGGCTGGCGGGAGGGAGGCATGTTCACTCGGTGTGGGCAGCCCCATGGGAGGCCTGGCGGCTCCAGGAAGTGGCGTGGCCATGGGAGCAGTGCCCCCTGCTCACCCACTGGCCCCACAGCCCACTCTGAAAGGAAATCCACGGGGACTGGAGTGAGGAAATGACAGACCACCACAGCTCAAAAGCGAGGATATGACGACAGGTAAGTTACACCATCAAGAGCTTATGAAGATGACAATTCACCACGCACAGCGCTGCAGGGCACCTCAGGGGCCCGTGTCCAAACCACCTGCTGTTCTCCCGCCCAAACGCCCCCCACCCCCCCAGCTTCCCCAGCTCAGAAACAGGCCAGCCCCGTGGGTCCCTCCACATGCTCATCCTGCCCGGCAGCAGAAGCTGCTGGCCCCGCCTGAACTTCCTTCCCCAGAACCTCTGCTCCTCACCTCCTGTCACCCCACCTGGCCTGGACCCAGGGACTCGCCTGGGCCTCCACGCAGCCTCACAGCCACCCTGCTTAGGTCCGATCCTGTCGCTGCAGCTCAGAACGGCCCTCCGATGGCTCTCCACTCACAGGGAAAGCCCCCCCCCCGAGACTGCCCCCACCTCCTCACCACCTCTCCCCTCCCAGGCCACTCCAGCCCCGGCCTCCCTGCTCTCGCTCCAGCGTGCCAGACACTGTCACCCCAGGGCCTTTGCACCTGCTGTTCCTGTGGCCTGAATGGTTTTCCCCGGAAGAGCCGTCCTCCCTCACCTTCCCCTTATCAAGAGGAGCCTCCCTGGCCATCCCCTAGGAGACCCCCTTCCACCTGCTGTCTCTGTCCCAGTGGGGCACCCCCTCCTGTCCCACCAGGCAGTTCTGGGCCTCACAGCAACACCGTGCCCGGATGCAGCAGGTGCCTGGTAAGCATCTGCTGAATGAGGGGACGTGGCATCCCCAACAGGAACCGAGGCAAGAGTGCGAGAGGGACCAGGGTGGGGGGCAGCCCCCAAACCACGGACCCTCCTCAGCCCCCTCGGTGGACCCCCCTGAAAACCCACCACCGGTTGGTAGCGTTAAGAGGGTTTTCAATTTCCTTTGAAAAAAAGTAATTTTTTTTACACCAAACCATTTCAACAAAAGGCAGCAACGAACTTTAAAAAAACAACGAAACACACACCTGAGGGGAACGGGGCGGCACTTGTCCCAGCTCCCTGGGGGCCGCTGACCAGACGAAAAGCCTTGAGAGCGTGGCCTTGCTCTGCCCAGCACCCCACCCCCGGAGCAGGCCCCCAGGAAAACCCGCGGGCCGGGAAGAAACAACGTCACATGGTTCCCAACAGCCGGAAGGAACAAGGAGAGGCAAAGGCAGGTGCCTGACCAGTGAGGACGGGCCATGGGCGGCCGGGCCTCCGAGGGGCCGAAAACTGGCAAGTCCGTGAGAAACAGAAAACAAACACTGCCTGGCCGGGGGCTCAGTGGTTAGAGCATCCACCAAAGAGTCTCAGGTTCGATTCCCGATCAAGGGCTTGCACCTGGGTGGCAGCGCATGCGGGAGGCAACCAGACGATGTTTCTCTCACATCAGTCTCTCCCTCTCTCTCTCTCTCCCTTCCACCCTCTCTGAAAAACAATGGAAAAAATACCCTCAGGTGAGGACTAACAAAAAAATAAAATGAACTAAATAAAGTAAAAGACACAAATGTCTCAAATCAAAAACATTTACGACGTTTTAAAAAAAGCCCGAAAACTGGTTAGTAAAGACACTGCACTAAGTGGAAAGCGAACACTGTCGGCCGAACAGCCTCAATTTTGGAAACGGGCGTCGCGGCAGCGCGAGAGGAAGCACGCCCAGGCGCCGGCACTGCCATCGCTGCCCCTTGGCAGCTGTCGCCGGCCGCGAGGCTGAGCGTGGGGCGGCGAGGCCGCGTCTACCCACAACCCGCTCTTCGCACACTTCTTGGAACGCCCCGATGTTCTGTTGCACCTCATTTCTGTGCCCAGTCCTTTTGCTGAGGGCACCCTGCCTCCTTCGGGGGCCCACCCCCTCCTACACCCCAGGGACGACACTCCATCCAGCGTGGAGCACGATCGGTCTGGTCCTGCCCATGTCCTGGGCCACAGGGTTCGCTTCTGCAAAAGGCGTGAAGCACAGAGAGCCAGTGAGTGTGGCATCTCTGCCAGAGCTGCCAGGAAAGAAGTGCCTCGTCTGGAGTGTGCTGAGCTGAGCAGGCCCACGGACCTGGAATGGATATTGGGGGGCCCCGCCCCCATGAGAACAGTGGGCCTGCCCTGAATGCCAACAGAGAGGAGAGTGGAGCAAGGGGACAGGGGCGGGGGAGAGGTGGGTGGGAAGAGAAGCTCCTGATAACTTGACTTGGGCGCCTGGATCCAGCCATACCTGAAGCTAATTAACTGCTGCTGTCCCTGAGCCAACAAATGTCCTGCCTTTCTCTAAGCCAGCTACAATGAATGTCTGCCCCTGGCAACCCAAAGCATCGCTCATACAAAACTCGACCACTGACAACCAGGAGAAACGTCACCACTAAGAAACCCATCGATTGGCTGAACACGAACACCCACAACCTGCTGACCTGTACCCTTGGAAACAGTCAAGATAAATTTTATGTTGTATATTTTACCAAGAATTTTAAGTAAATATGGATAAACCATATCCTGGGTATTTTTTAAATGTTTAAATCTTTTTTTTTTTAAGTCCTCACCCGAGGATATTTTTCCACTGACTTTTAGAGAGAGTGGAAGAGAGAGGGAGAGACAGAGAGAAACATCGATGTTGCCTTCTGCACACACCCCGACCAGGACCCGGGCCAGGGAGGAGCCTTCGACCAAGGGACGTGCCTTTGACAGGAATCGAACCCTTCAATCCACAGGCCAACACTCTACCCACCGAGCAAAATCAGCTAGGGCTAAAACGTTTAAATCGCATAAAGTTTTTAAAAAAGCAAAACAGAAAACACCCGCCCACGCCCAGCCCGCCGCCAGCGCTCACCGGCCCCGTCCTGGCTCCGCTTCTCCAGCTCCAGCTCCGCGATCTCGCTGAGCAGGGTGATGCCGTGCAGGAAGCTCTGCTCCAGCACCAGGCTCTGCGCCGCCTCCAGCTGCTCCAGGGCCTGGGCCCCGGCGCCCGGCGAGGGCAGAGGCCGGGCCTGGGGCAGCTCTGCGGCCGCCGCC